ATGAGAGGGATGATGGATAGATAGAGAAAAGGAAGGAAAAGATAGGTTGAGAGATGAGAAAGATGATAGATGATGGATAGAGGAAGTAAGGAAGTTATGTAGATGAGAGGGATGATAGATGGATAGAGGAAGGAAGGAAGATGATAGTAGTTATGGAGATGAGAGATGAGAGATATAGGTGAAAGAAAAAGAAGGGAAAGAAAGAAAAGAAAGAGAAAAAGAGCAAGCACTAGCATGATATGCCCACGCAGGAGACGTTAGAGTCCAGCTGGATTTGAAAGGGACCTCAAACTTCACTAAACCTAACCTACCTGTCTGCAGCCGCTTGAGGTCAGGCAAGTCAGCCTTCCCACCCATTTTTTCCTCTTAGCTTCCTTAGGCAGAATTCTTCTAAGCATGTGCAGAGGGCTTCTGCATGGCAAACCCAGAATGACCGGCTCTCGGTGCACCCATGTGTAACGCGCTTCCAGACTGAAAGAGACAGGCTGGCTGACCTTATTTGCTGGCAGTTCAGGCAGAATCCTTTGAAGAGCACTCATGGAACAACCCTTTAATAAATAGGCGGGTTTGCCAAGAATCTTGGCCTGTTGGCGGAACACGTTTCCTCTCAAAGTAGGCAAAGAAGAAGGGGAAAAGGAAATCAAAGCAAAAATACTTCTTGTAATTTGCACAATGCAGCTCTGGGACTCTCAAATGCAGAATTTTTTTAGCCTTGCCAAATTGCAAGGGCCCAGCCAAACTGACAGCCAAATGTCCGTCATTCAGCAAATCACATTTAGTGCAATGTTTGCAGCTAGTCTGGATAACATGTAAATGACAATCTCAAAAATTTCATTGCTAAGTAAGGTGTTCGTTAAGTGAGTTTGGCCCCCTTTTACGACCTTTCTTGCCACAGTTGTTAAGTGGATCACTGTAAGTTGACAACTTAGTAACCTGGTTGTTAAGGGAATCTGTATTCCCCTTCAAATTTGCTTGTCAGAAGGTCGCAAATGATGATCACAGGACCCGGGGAGACAACAACGGTCATAAATACGAGTCTGTTGCCAAGCATCTGAATTTTGATCACGTGACCGTGGGAATACTGCAGCGGTCGTAACTGTGAAAAATGGCCATACGTCTCTTTTTTCAGTGCTGTAACTTTGAATGGTCACTAATTGAACCATGGTAAGTTGAGGACCACTTGTAATTGGGTGGTTTTGGGCCACTCACTTTCAGTCCTGGCAGGATTTCTGTTTGCAAAGGGGCGATCCCAAAGTAATCTTCCACAGCTCTTATAGATGAGTTAATAAATCTATCCCTCAAACCAATAAGTACATCTTGAGTAATCTTAACAAAACCGGAACTGATGCAGCGAAGAAAAATATGCCAGGATAATTTTCTTCCTTTTAAATATGTGACTCTAAATGTTTGACAAGTTGCTTTTTTTAAAAGGTCCCCAGAGCTTACTCATTGATTTCCCAGACTCCAAAAGATGGCCTGCATTTATGTTAAAAATAATACCAAATTAAGTAGCACGGCACGTACATTCTCGTTTTTCTTCTCTTGTCTTTCTATTTTGGCCACTGTTCAGAAAGTTTGCATCCTGGCCAAGGCATGGAATAAATTACGACAGGATCCTGCTTGTGGCCAGATTGTTGAATTCAAAGGCTCTAGCTATTCTTAGTTTGGATTTGACTTTGTGTATTGTAGGAACCTCAGCTAACCATTATACAGTTATGCTTAATGCAATATTATGAGCCCAGTTTCAAGGAATCCAGTGACCATTTTTTTCCTGACTAGCGTGCCTCAGGTTTTCTATTAAAATATGTACTAAGGGGCTGGATTGTAGCTAATTCAGACTTGACGGGAGCCAACTTCTAGATTGCATTATGGAGCTAGCTGTTGGTAACATTTTGAGTTGATGGATCATCAGATCAGTGTCAGCTCGTAACACCCACATATAGATAGTCCTTGATTTACAACCTTATCCTCTGAATCTTTGAACTTTTATTTAAATATCAGAACAGTTTTTGTTGACTTCTGGACTGGACTTTAATTCAATCTTTCCTACTGAATTTGCCGTAAGTGCCGATGCTTGTTCTCAGCCTCAGACTGTTGACTTCACCTTTTGCCATCTGAAATTCCAGACAGGACAAAAATTTAGAGTCACCGAGGCTTAAGGTGGGGTGTTTAATCTTTAACTTGGCCTTTTCAAATAATATTTTTTTAAAAACATCAGATCAGCCACCACAAATATTAGGATTTGGGACCCCTCCATATTTGATTCAGGGAACAGTCCTAAGTAATTACTTGAGCGAGATATGAAATTCTTGAGCAAATTTTCTGTGTTTTGTCAGTTCTAGCTCCAGCGAGGACCATTCTTTTGTCAAGCAGGTTTTTGGGTCAAGTTGAACATTGTTTTGGATGATCCATCCATGGGATGGCAGAGTTAGGAAATTATTTCTTAAAAGTTACTCTTTAAATTGAAAAGATGACAAGGTCTCCTGCTAAGGAGACAGAGAGGTATATGTGAAAAAATAATCCAATTTTAAAAAATACTTGTTTCCCTCTTGTGCTTGGTTTTTACTGTGACAAAATGAGCGTTGCAGTCCCTGGTACATCTCACACTTCCATCTTCACACTTACGACCATTGCATCATTCCCATAGTTACGTGATCAAAATTTAGATGCTTGGCAACTGACTCATATTTATGACGGTTGCAGCATCCTGGAGTAATCCCCTTCTGACAACCAAAGTCAATGGGGAAGCCAGTTTCACTTAACAACCGTGTGCCTAACTTAACTTCCACAGCAATTCAGTTAACAACAAATGGTTGTAAAATGAGGCAAAACCCACTTAACAAATGTCTCACTTAACAACATAAATCCTTTTAAGTCGAGGATTATCTGTATGTTGTTCTGTTATGGAATGATTTTTCCAGTGTTTTCTACACCGTTTACCTATTTTCAGCATTGTTATTATTTCCATGGGAGAATTACATAAACCTAAAGCATTTTTGTTTCCAATCTTAAAGCAACGCAAGCAAAAAACCCTTTTTGCAGCCCTTGACAGGGCTGCCAAGTTAAAACCCTCCTGAACAACTAAAACAAAGCCTCCTTGATTGGATTTATGCTAATGGCTCTGCTGTAGGCATTTCTAATTCTTTTCCATTTCCTTTCAGAATTGCCTCGGAGTATTCCTAAGGAGACCATTACAGGTAAAACGAATGCATCACAGGTCAGGTGCCACAAGATGGCATTAGCTGAAGGGCCATTTGCCATCAGGAGGAGCTGCAGCAAAGGCATTATTAGAGAAGAGAAAATTGGCTGCCCTTTCAATTTGCAGACAGGGAAGAATTTCCTAGGATCAGATTTATTTTTACACTGGGTGAAGAAAAAATGGAGGGGAAACTCTTTCTTTCCAACAAATACCTGCTTGTGCTTGTGCCAATTCTAAGTGACACTGCTAAACTCCCGAAGAATGTAGAACAGAACAGAACAGAATAGAATAGAATAGAATAGAATAGAATAGAATAGAATCATATGGCCTCAGAACATTACACATGGTCCTCAACTTATGACCACAATTGAGTCCAAAATTTATGTTGCTAAGCGAGACAGTTGTTAAATGAGTATTGACCCAGGCTGACTCTGCAAACCACTTAGGGCTGTAAAGCACTGAGAAGCGGTATATATAAGTCCTAAGGGCTGTGGCTATGGATATTGAACAGCTGTTAGACAAACGGTATCTACATCAGGAAATTACCTGTGCTTCAAATTCTGTCATTGCGATTAATGCTTCTCTTTTCCTTAGATCACTTTGTATTCTTTCAGTAACTTGTAAGTTCATAAATTGTGGCTCCCAATTTGGCTATGTTAATCTCCCCTGTGGATCCTGCCAATATATATATATATTCTAAATCCTTTACATTGGTATTCTCCAAATAACTCTTTTCGGTTGTCTCATTTGCTGTGATTACAGATGGAGCAGGGAGACTAGTTTTCTGTCATTGATTTTCCGAGGTTAATTTATATAGAACAAAGCTGTTGTGTGCCCGCCGTTGTAATTGATCCTGAGTTACTAACTGCACAAGAAGCAGACACCTGGAGCAACAGAGGAGTGGGCTTGCTGAGTAATACCACCCTCCCCGCCTTTGAACACAAAGTGGGCGTTGTGTTTTCCCTGTGAGTTTTAATGCCGCCCTTCTGTCTCACCTTATTTTGTACCACTGTTGTTTCTGTGGCAAACCCATAACGTCTCCCAGGCATCCACAAAAGTGGGAAGCCAAAAGAAAAACAAGGAAACGCTGGCAGCAAATAAGACAAAGGAAATGGATATTGGCTTAAGACTTAGCAGGTCTGGTTGCAGGATTCAGGATTATCCCCGGATGGAAGTAAAGCACAAAAGAGTTTTAGGTCTCCTGGCTGCAGGGGTCTCGAAAAGAGGAAGGAAAGTTATGGAGGAAGCTAGTTTTGGAGGCTCAGACCGTTTTGCAGCATTGATCCAGGTGGGAACGCAAAACTCCGGAATGTGGAATTCTTGTTCATGTTCTCAGATGAGGCGCTGCTTCTTTTCTTCCCCATTCTGGGTGAAAATAACTCCTCTTGCTTTCTCTTGAAGCTTCCCCAAGGGAAGCCCAATGTAAGGGCAGCCTGGCAAAACGGCGATTTTAAGACAATTTTAAGACAGGAGGTGTCGTAGCTGGCATTACCAGATGACATTACAAACCGGTTGGCCCAGTAACGGCCACGTTGCGATGCTCGGGGCGCACTGCCTGCCAAACCTGTTTCTAATCCTCTCGATCCTCTCTGCATTAACTCTGCTGCTGGCTGCTTGCTGGCTTCCGAGGAACCCGGTCAGGCGTTTTCCTCCTCTGCAGGCGTTCTTTTTCTCCCAAGTATTCCTGATACAATAACAGATCATCAGAGTTGGAAGGGACCTTGTAGATCATTTAGTCCAACCCCCCACCCAAGCGGGAGACCCTACATCATTTCTGACAGATGGGAGTCCAATCTCTTCTTGAAAGTCTCAAGTGGTGGCACAGTTCCTGATTCCGCTCTTGACTGGCAATGCAGGTGGCAAGAGCCCTTAGACTTACATACCTCTTCTCAGTGCTTTGCAGCTCTCTCTAAGCTGTTTACAGAGTCGGCATGTGGCTCCCAACAACCTGGGTCCTTATTTGACCGACCTCGGAAGGACAGAAGGTTGAGTGGACCATGAGTCGGTCAGGATCAAACCGCCAGCAGTTGGCAGAAGGGGATCGCATGACCCCAGGACACAGCAACCATCATAAATATGAGTCAGTTGCCAAGCCTTTGAATTTTGATCACGTGACTGTGGGGATGTTGCAACGCTCATGTGAAAAATGGTCTTAAGTCACTTTTTTCTCCAAAGGGTCACTAAATGAACTGTTGTAAGTTGAGGACTACCTGTATCTTGCCTTTTATTACGTGTCACACAAACACGGTGTGCCATTATTTAAATAAACAAAACCACAATTGTTCTTGTTCGCCCCATCCTGTGTTACATGGTCAAATCATTTCCATGTTATAAATAAAGAGCAAATTCCATCCCTTCCACAAACAAGCAAAACACAGCTGCTAATTTAATCCTGCCTTTGGGGCAGCTAGTTTAGCCTTATTGCTAATTTCCTGGGTGATAAAACAAGGGATTAACCACCCTTTTACATTAATAATATGATACTAACATGAAGGAATCGGACAGAGATATAATTGTTTAGAAACGTGTACAGTAATTAAAAAAATAATCTGTCAAAAAAGTGTAAGGACACTGTTTAAATTAGAGCAATTTATTATTATTATTGTTTTGCTGAACTTGACAAAGATTCCCAGAGATTGATAACACGACACAATCTTAGTGCACCATTTCACAACTAGTCCCTTGTTGGTTTTATTAAGAACATAGTAATTTAAAAAATAGCTAAATATGTACATATTAATAAAACATATATACATAAGATTGAGACTTTTACCTAAATATGGGATGATTTTTCCTAATAAAACCTATAAAAAAAGACGCCCGGAAAAAAGTTTTAATAGTAGTCACAGTTAAAGTCAACACGAGTACAATTGTTTTTAAAGATTCGTAAGACTGCTGATTGTAGGTTAATGGTTACAATACATACGCTTTGTAGATTTATGGAAAAGACCAAGAAATTTCATTTGTGGAGGAGAATCCCATTGGCCTCAAAAAGAAGATGTGGGATTGTTACAGACTACAGCACTAGCCAGGTTTATCAAGTCCTCAAGAAAAGACAGCTGCGTTTCAGCGATAAGTTGGTTGTACTGCATTAAGTTTAAAAATTTATAAAAAAACATTATTGAACTGCAGAAATGATTATTTTTAACAAGCTGAAAAAGAGGGTTCCTAAACACACCATTAGACTCTGCTAGAGATGTCTACGAGGGTATCAATGAATTTTTCGTGTATGTGAAATTTTTCATGTATACCTTCATGTAAAGCTGGGGTGTCCAACCTTGGTCATTTTAAGACCTGTGGACTTCAGACTCCAAAGTCCACAGCTCTTAACATGGCCAAGGTTGGACACCCCTGATCTAAGGTATGAGCAGATCTTCTCATGTCGAGTGTAGGAGATACTGGGGACTTCAAAACCAACACAAATGCAAAATAAATTCAGGTGGTGTTTGTGAGATATCGGAGTGTATTGAAGATTAGTGGAGAGTTGCTAGCCATGCTCCCGCCAGCTTTTGTTTGAAAAAAGAAATATTAACGTAGGCCCCCAAATATCCTGTCACCTCTTAAGGGATGGAATAAGGAGAGGACACGTATGCAGGTGGAAAGAATCTTCTCAAAATTGTATCCTCCAAAAAGTGCTCACAATTCCTAATCCCCATAAATTAGCAAAACAAGGAGAATGGAACCTAAGCGCCCAGAGCTGATGGCTCTTAGTTCACTAAAGAGAGAATAAAATACATTATCACTCCCCTATGCATCCGAGTAATCTGCATGTTATACAGAGAGTAATAATAATAGAGTTGGAAGGGACCTCAACAGTCTGCAACAGTTACAAGGGTGAAAAACAGTCACGTCACTTTTTTCAGTGTAGTCGTAATTTTGGTCACTAAAAGAACTGTTGTAAGACGAGGACTACCTGTATTGAAATGCTGGACAAAAACTGAGTGAGAAAGGGAACCTAAGATACCTGTCTACATGCCTGTTCTCCTTTGATACAGAAGGGCTCTTGAGGCATGAGGCAAGGAGGAAGACATGTCTTGAACAATTACACAACTGTCTTGAGATCCTACTTTTAAAACTACCGGTCAGAATCCTGCCTTGGGCAGAGGGTTGGACTAGACAACCTCAAAGTTCCCTCCCAACCCAATGATTCTATGAATGATTCCTGAAATACTCTTTGTTTTGGAACTTCAAGGCAGTATTATGAGAATCAAATATCAGAGAAAAACTAAGGGGACTGCAAAATATGGAAAACAACTTTTCATCTTTAAGATTATTTGATCTGGATTAAATGTGACACCGCAAGTAGTATTTATTAATATCTTATGGTCACATATAATGATAGCAATTCTGCTTCTGAAAACAAATAATTAATAATTATATCCAAATAGAAATTTACCTTGTGGGGATGGAAGGAAAGGCTCAACTCAGAAACTCGTTAAATTAAGACTCATTAAACGTCTTAGAAGTTTGATTTTTGACCCCATGATTTCTGCACCAAAAACTCTATATGAAATGGAGGTGTTAGGAGCTCTTTGTAAGATTAAGAGGATACTTTTGTTTTTCTTTCTCCCCGCTATTTAAATAGAATAGCCAGCACGCATGTATTTATGTGGGGAAATGCCATCATAAAATCAAAATTCATCCTATCACATTGGTTACCAGACTAATTGCACTAGAGCCTCTCTACAAACAAATCTAGTTATTTTGATTAAACCCAAAGGAAAAGTGATTTGTCGCTTAATAATTATCCACGTTAGAAAAGCATGAAAAAAAAATTGATCAGAGATGGTGAAACAGGGGAGCACGGATAGCGAAGTAATCTAGAAAGGTTGCTGGCATCATTTCAAACCGAGGCTTCAATATGCTAATGAAACACTGGCACGGAAGGCGTGGCTTCAAGGAGGGTACCTGAAAAAGAGTTAAAAGTTGTAAATTAGCATTTTAAGGAACTATAATTATGACGCTTGTTGAGAGTTGCTTGAGCTTGGTGGTTTTCTTGCAGATGTTTCATGACCCAACTAGGTAACATCATCAGGGCTAGAAGAGTGTGGGGTTTTCAGAAAGAAGGAAGAGGAGGAGGACTGTGGGGTCCTTGGTGCTCTCTGAACTTGGTGGTTTTCTTGCAGACGTCTCAACACCCAACTAGGTAACATCATCAGGGCTAGAAGAGAGAGGGGTTTGCTCTCTGTTTATTTACAATATAACCCACTCCTTTTTAGCACTGATGATGTTACCTACTTGGGTCATGAAACCTCTGCAAGAAAACCAAGCTCCGAGAGCACCAAAGACCCCTCATTTCCACCCCGAGCTACAGATATTCTCCTTTATTGATATGAGGCATATTCTTAACAAGCATCTAATCCAAAAATCATTTGGGACAAAACTTGGCAATTTGTCTGCTCTTTGAAAAACCCAGAGGCCACAATTCATCTGATCCAGCTGGTCTCTTGGCCTGGTCATTAGCTCTGAAGCCCCCCTGTGGCTCAGCTGCAGGTGATCTCCTGGATCTGCTGGATTGTTGAGAGGTCATCTGCTGGCAACCTTCTTTGGCTTTTTTTTGGTTGTTGTTGTTGTTGCTAGCCCAAGTCCCAGGAACTCTTTATTTCCTTTTAAAAAATTCTTCAGAATAACTTATTTTCTAACAGGCTTTGGGGCTTACTTGTTTCCCACTGTTTATTTTAAGTGTTCTTGATTTTAAATTTGTTTGTATAGCTAAGCTGCCAAGAAGTTCTGGCAGTTAGTGGTACAGTATATCTCACATTAAACAAAATTAAACAAGGAAACAAACCTTGGCGCCATTTACCTGCCTCTAGGAGAGAAATGTCCAGTTTCTCATCACCATCAGCCATTTCTGCTAAAGACAGATAATAAAGAAAAGAAAATTATTTTACAATTATTTTACTTGGGAGTTTAAAAAACAGCAAATGCAGAAAAGAAATGAAACATGGATATTTATCTAAAAACAGGCTGTCCAGTTTTTTTTTCCTTTTTTCCAGAGACCACCCTGATACCATCTTCACCAAGCTGGTGAGGGAATTATGGAAGCTCTTGTAAAGTAACTTTAAGAGGAGTTGACTTCAACCCTCTGTAGCTCAGGGGTGGTAGTGTGACTGTGGGCTCTGCAGTGCACTTGGCGGTTTGCTTGAGACGTTTCATGACCCAAGTAGGTAACAGCATCAATGCTAGAAGAGGGTGGGGTTTGTAGAGAGGAAGAAGAGGAGGAGCAGAAAGAAAACGGGTTCTTGGTGCTCTCTGAGCATCACTGTTTTCTGGCAGACATTTAATGATCCAACAGCACCAGTGCTGGAAGGGAGACGGGTTTGCAGGCAGGAGGTGGAGGAGGAGAAAGAAGAAGAGAAGGAAAAAAAACTGGAGTCCTTGAGCTTGATTGTTTTCTTGCAGGCGTCTCATGACCCAACTAGGTAACCTCATCAGTATATTGTATATTGTTTAACATTTGATATAGAAGTGATCAGCTTAGATTGTTTAGAGTTTTATTTTGTTGGTTATTGGTTATGATTAATCCTTTTTCACAGCTGCCTATAGTATTCATAGCTTAGTACTTTAGCACCTTTAGTTTAGTTTTGTGTATTTTCTTTCTCAAATTTGTCATCCAGTGAAGTTAAAAGGCCTGACTCATGCATGTATGAAGAAGGCAGAGCTTCAGTTGTGCAGTTGCCGACTTGACCTCTCTTTTTTTTAACACCGCTCCTACTGTGTGTTACTTCTGCTTCAGGGGATTTGGGTAACAGAGCTGCTTCAACCAAAGTTCAATTTGTCCCTGACCGACAACTTTTACAGTGGAAAGGATTTTATTGGTGCATAATGCAGACACACTAATACGTGAAATCCTTTTCGGATGTAAATCAATAACAACTGAGCGGGAAAAATGCCAAGCCACATAAAAACACTTTAATTACATTTTAAAAAAAAACACCACTGCATTAAGGATACAAAGTGGAAAATATGACTTTAAATTCACAAAGCGGCATTCCAAAAATCCACTTCAGTGCACTTTTGTTGATAACATTTGTTTCTCAGCCAAACCTTTCTTTTTTTTGCTGCAATGAATTCTAGGAAAAAGGCCAAACTTTGAAAACAAAGCAGACCATAACAGCCACTTGACAAAACGATGCAAAACACTGAAAAGTCAAGGTGTTTTTTCAAAAGCCAAAATCAGGGCAGGGATGTTTGTAGGGAAATCAGAAAAGTCCATCACAGCTGGAAGGGACCCCGGAGGTCTTCTAGTCCACCCCCCTGCTCAAGCAGGAGATCCTATACCACAAACGATTGTCCAGTCCTGCAGCGATGGAGCAGCCACAACCTCCGGAGGGAAGTTTTTTCCACTTATTAATCGTCCTCCCTCTTTGGAAATTTAGTTCCGGGTTGCTTCTCTCCTTGGTTATTCTCCATCCACTGCTTCTTGTTCTGCCTGCAGCCCTGGCCTTGGCAGGTTTAAAATGGAAACGAGGCTAAATGGCCTCACTGGGTTTCTAATGATTCAGCCTAATTGAAATTATTTTCCACTTAAAACCTGAAGTGCAAAGACCCCGCCTGCAAAATCCTTCTCTCTCTCTCAGGATTTGATCCAGACATGTCCCCACCTGTCTTCTCATTCTTAAAATGCTTCTGGAGATGCCAGCGGCTGGCATCTCCGCTCAACCGCTCATTCCTTGGCGGCATTTTGTCTTCCCTACAGGTAGTCCTTGATTTACGACCACAACTGAGCCCAACATTTCTGCTGATAAGCGAGAAATTGGTTAAGTGAGTCTTGCCCCACTTTATGGCTTTCCTTGCCACGGATGTGAAGTGAATCCCTGCAGTTGATAAGCTGGTGACCTGTTCGTTAAGTGACTCTGGTTTTCCCCCTTCGACGTGGCTGGTCAGCAGGTCGCAAAAGGGTATCGCGTGGCCACACTGCGACTGTCACAAATACGAGCCGGTTGCCAAGCGGCTGGATTTTGATCACGTGACCACGGGGATGGCTGCAACGGTCGTTAAGTGTGAAAAAAGGGTCCTAAGTCACCTTTTCCAATGCCATTGGGACTTCGGTCGGTCACTAAATGAACTGTTGTAAGTTGAGGTTTACCTGTATACCCAGAAGGGGGTGGAATTTGCAATGCAACTTTTGTGCTGTCATTCCCATTCCCACAGCTAGAACCTGTGAATGCCGGCCTTGAAGTCTGTGTATCTCTTCTTAGTTGCAACTGCTGTTATCCTTCCTTCCTTCCTTCCTTCCTTCCTTCCTTCCTTCCTTCCTTCCCTTCCTTCCTTCTTTCCTTTCCTTCCTTCTTTCCTTCCCTTCCCTTTCCTTCCTTCCTTCTTTCCTTTCCTTTCCTTCCCTTCCCCTTCCTTCCTTCCTTCCTTCCCTTTCCTTCCTTCCTTCCTTCCCTT